CGCTCTTCTAAAGGGTGCTGCAGGCTGAGGGTGGATGGGCGCAGTTGTGTTCGCAAGAGGATGCTCTGCGATGTAAACCTCTGTTTATTATCAGCTCAATCTCCCACCACTGAGAGCTACCTGCAGCCTCTTGCACGCTTCCAATTTTCAATGTACTTCCCCTTCTTTGGATGGGATCCAAAGCTTAAATCGACTTAAGGAGGTCCAATATCACTACAGAGACTTCAGATGAGAAAGACTTGAAGCCAGCCAGAGACACAGGCACAGAGCTGTTGTGCATTATCTCTTGGATATTAGATAGGTCTGGAGCTCTTTCTCCATGTGCAGCAAATCCAGAGTTCAGCAGCTGTGGAAAAAGCCACACCTGCAGCACTTCAACTAGCTGAAATCTTACTGGCACACAAGCTTGCCTGGAAAGGTGGAGCTCCCAGCAGATCACATTCCCCTAGCATTAATGATTTCCCCTGCTTCTGCAGGTTAAAAGCTTAAAAAAATAAACCTTCTCCAAAACCCACCTCACTAATCACCGTGACTCTGCACAAGATGGAGAAAGCAACAGATCGCAGCTGCACGCCTGAAACGTTGCCAGCAGAAACCCAACAGCTCCCAAGGTTTCTCGGTTTCACCTGCCCAGCAGGCAGAGCCAAGCGCGGCCAGCCGAGGAAGAGGCAAGCAAAGCTGCGCGGAGGCTGGCAGGACAGGGGCAGTACCGGTGTTCCCAAGAGACTTGTTTCGACTTGGGAAGAGGCAGTTTCTTCTCTTTGCCCTCATTTGTACAGAGAGGGACAGCTTCTTGGAGCAGCTGGATGCTCTAAAGGGAGGGGGAAAGCCTCAGCATCAGCCACTCCACTGTAATGAAGTGGGAAGAGCTCACAAGGGTCGCAGCCCATCCCTGGCAATAAACTTGAAGGCATTTCTCAGTGATGAGAGGTGAAGTACCCTCTCTTAGGTGGTGGCAAGAGCTTGGGCTAAGTGGGTTTCCCAGAAAAACAGTTTAAGTCAGTCTAAACTGGTGCTGTCACAACCCCTGCCTTACTGTGGCTCCCACCTCTCCCTCCTCAGCTACAATCCCAGCCAGACCAGGGGCAAAACCAGCCAAAAAACATCCACTTTTAAAAATATGGGCAGGGCAAATGTTGGTGAGAAGCAGAGCACAGGGTCAGCGTGCAAGGGGCAGGTCCAGCTGACAGCACCAAAGAGCAGCACCCCATGCAAAAAAAATTATATTTCAGGTTTTTTACTAAAACCCCTGTAAACAAAATCAAGGCACTGAGCCACAGCACAGCTGAGGACCCACGTATGTACTCCACGAGTGGAGTCAGCAGTTGACCACAGCATTTTCTCAGCTAACCCAAGGGCCTAGAGACGCTGCCCAACATTACAGATGCCAACAAGACAACGCACATCAAGTGGGTATCAGCAGCACCACGTGGACTGGCCGGTCCAACCAAAGTTTGCAAGACCGGGATTTACATGGGCAAAAAGCAGGAGATAAACACAGTGCTAAGCCCAAAGTTTCCTCTTATTAATCCTCAGCCCTCTGGGGCAGGAGGACCTACAGCTCTCGCCCATCTTTTCATTTCTAACAGAGATGCTAGCAGGGCCTGCCTTTGGAGGTGTTGTATAAACGCAAAGCCAGCTCTCCCCAAGCAGCTTAAGGCTCTAAAGCCCCGAGCTGTGTGCCAGCCCCGCTCCTCCGAGCCGTCATGGCACTGCAGCCTGCAGCTTCCAAGGCTGGTCACCTTGGTGTCTGCTCCTGTACTGGGGAATTCTGCTCCTACGGCTGCCCAGGGACGAGTGCTGTGGGTAAACACGCCAATCTGGCTTTAATTAAAAAGAAAAAAAAAAAAAAAAAAAGACTAAAAAGTTCTCCTCTCCTAATCCCCCCACCCAGCCCCAGGTTTACATCTGCTGCAGGCTGCATGAGGAGCTGCTGTGCTGGCACATAATCGGGATGGGTGTGCAGGAGGATGCCAAGCAAGGAGCCTGGTCTAGTACTGGTACCAAGCCCCCGGTGCCACAGGTTTACAGCACAGTTAAGCAGAAGAGATTTGTCCAGCATCACCAAACCCTGAAGTCGGCAGCGTCTCCTGTAAGTCTCTACCACGCAAGGGAGGGAGTCTGCAGTTTTGCTTTCAGAGATTATGTTACTCCCTCCGTTAACAGCGATAGCTCTAACGGCCAAACACAAAGCTATCGGTTACAAACAGCAGCTGTACCCTCCCAGTGCAAGCCCAAGGGGAGACAGGTTTTCTCTGACAGCCGAGACCATCCAACTCCTCGGCGGGGACTCTAACCTGCTTCTCCACCATTGCTTCTAGCCAACTTGCCCTGCAAACATTGCAGTATTACCCCAGCCGCTGCATGTTTTACTTAATCAGCCTCACTAGCCAGACCCTGAACTTTAATCAGCTGGGACATGACCAGAAACATCATCCTAAGTTTGCTTGACCATAAAACAGCACAAAGGCCTGCTATTTCACTAGGAAAAGATAATTAAGAGTCATGTTTTAGCCCAAATCAAAGGTGCACCCAGCTCATGACAACCCACAGCAGCAGTCGTACCTCGGCTCCACACCTTGTGACACAAAGTCCTTCCTCCTGCAACCCCTCAATGCGCAACTTTGGGGCTTGCTTTGGTTAAGAAAAGGGGTTTTTATGCAACTGCTGGTCCACCCCCCAGGCTCCCCCACCCCACAGACTGCTTTTGAGCACATTGGCCTGGCAGAGAGGTAGGTCTCAGAGAGCACGTGGCTGTGCTCTCTGCAGGCAGGTACAGACGGCTCAGAGGAAGGAAAGGCTGCAAAACAAGTGAAACATTTATGGGACATCAGGGAAACCACCAGGAACTGAACCTCAGGACACCAAGCCAGCCGCAAGGGGAGTGGGGAAGAAAACAGAATTTTTGCCCCCCCGCCAACTGCTAACATCTACCTCCTTGGCAGCGACTTTACACCCGTTTCATGTTTCATCACTGCTGTTGCACAAGGGCTTGCACAGCAAACACTGCGATAAACCATTGCGGGACTTTAACCGTTGATCTTCCAAGCCTTCACAATCAGGCTGCGCCAAAACTCAAGCAGCTCCAGTCCTATTTGACCTTCAAGGGGTTGATTAAAGCCCTTTGCTGTGTCTCCCTCCCTGCAGGGGACAGAACACGACCCCCTGCTTTGGGGCTGTTGCTCCTTGCTTGGGTGCTCAGAAATAGGGTGCAGCAGCAGAGCACCCCAGACTTGGAGAAAGGAGCAGGACACGGCATTAGCCTGAACTCCCACCACAGCCCAGCTCGCAGGAGGATGCACAGTGAAAATCACCCTAAGACCCCGAAGTACAAGATGTTACCCCAAACTTGGGGTGCACTGTGCTGAGCCGGACAAGGCACAGAGCCGCTGCCTGGGCGGCATGAGCTGGGCGAGCACAGAGACCGGAGGGGAAAAGTAGTTTTCTTCCTTTTCTCCAGGCTAAAGGAGCGCAGTCCAAAGCCAAGGAGGAAGAGGCATGGCGGGGCCCATCCATGCACCCCAGGGTCCCTCCTTGCACACTGGGACTGTCCATGCATTGGGGGGAGCAAGGGGTCCCTGCACCCCACAACCCGCCCGTGCACACCAGGGCTGCTGCATGCACTGGAGGGCTCTGTGCAACCTGGAGCCCGTCCATGCACTGGGAAATTCCATGCACCCCACATCCACTCCATGCATTAGGGGGGTCCCTGCACCCCATGGCCCATTCCTGCACCCCAGGGCCACTCCATGTACTGGCGGGGCCATGCACCCTGGAGCCTATCCCTGCACCCCAGAGTCCATCCCTGCAGCCCGGGGCCACTCTATGTATTGGGGGGCTCCGTGCACCCCATGGCATCCCAGGGCTGCTCCGTGCACTGGAAGGATCCGTGCAACCTGGAGCCCGTCTGTGCAGTGGGGGGCTCCGTGCACCTCATGGCCACTCCGTGTATTGGGGGCTCCGTGCACCCCGCGGCCACTCCACGCACCCTGGGGCTACTCCATGCACTGGAGAGGTCCGTGCAACCCGGAGCCTGTCCGTGCACCGGGAAGCTCCGCGCACCGCATGGCAACTCCGGGCATTGGGGGGTCCCTGCACCCCAGAGATGCACCTGTCCGCCCCTGCACCCCGTGGCCGCTCCGCGTATCGGGGGCTCCGTGCACCCCACGGCCACTCCACGCACCCCGGGGCTGCTCCGTGCACTGGAGCGGTCCGCGCACCCCATGGCAACTCCGGGCATTGGGGGGTCCCTGCACCCCGGAGCTGCTCCGTGCACCCCGTGCATTGGGGGCTCCGCGCACCCCGGGGCCACTCCGCGCACTGGAGGGGTCCGTGCAACCCGGAGCCCGTCCGCGCCCCGGGAGGCTCCGTGCACCCCAGGGCCACCCCGCGCCCCGGGCGCTCCCTGGCCCTCCG